GAGTGTGGCTGCTGTTAATTAATTAACATTCCACCATTTGCAATCAGTGTCATATTTCAATTGTTTTTCAGTTAAACACCATAGCTCTCAATCGGGTAGCAGCAGTGTATTTCACTCTCACTGCACTTGGCTAAGTTCCATCCAATTTGTATCATGGGTATGTCACCATCATTTACCGGTCATTCAACTGTCGACAACTTCTCTGTCAGTTACAGACCGATCAGAGCCTCGGCATTTCTCCCAGTGCTCCGGTGATGAGTCCAACTATGTATTAAATGATTAGCGGCGGGGAGGGGTGGAGGTTACGGTAGGTTGTTGTCTTAAAAGTTACTCGCACACTGTTCATTAATCATTTTTCTCATTGCACGTTGGCTTATCTGTTTTTAGGGGCAAATGCGAGAGCCCGGTGTGGGCGGAGATAATGAGCAGACTTAAGGTCACACAGAGAAGAGAGCGTCACAAACACCTTTTCTATTTTATCAAATTGCACACTTTTTGCGTTTATGTAATCGCACATGACAACATCGTGATTGCGATTAGATTAATTGTACAGCCCTAGAGATTTGATTAGTACCTCACCCACTCACATATTCTGTCCTAAACTCATCAAAATCAGAAAGAGCTTCACTGGCAAGTAATTTTTTAAGCGTACGAGGAATTTGCTCTGGAAAAGGTGCTTCACTAAGACAAACAGTTAACATAAATAAATGTAGAAAGATATAAATATGGAATAAACAAAGGCAAGTTATCAAAGAATAATAGAATAGAGATTAATACAATTAATGTGCAGAGAAAGACAACTTGGCAGATATTTACATGTTCATGACTCACGGTTTGTTTTGTGCAGATGTAGCGTGACCTTCAACGAAGCAGCCCCCGCGGCACCTTTTGCCTACATTACACTACATAAAATATACGTGGCACATGTATCACGTCAAAATGTACAAAAAATCTCTTATAGCCATTATCCAACGAAGGTTAAAGTCAAGGGCAACTGGAATTGGTTGAAGATAGGCAGAGGCAGACACCATCTCCACATTTAAGAGTAGGCTTAAGACTTTCCTATCTGATAAAGCTTATAGTTAGGGCTGGCTCAGGTGAGTCCTGAACCATCCCTTAGTTATGCTGCTATAGGCCTAGACTGCCGGGGGATTTCCCATGATGCACTGAGCTCCTCTCTCCTCTACTTTCTCTCCCTCTGTATGCAATCTTATCCCATTATTGCATGTTACTAACACAACTTCTCCCCTTTCTGGTAGTCTTGTGCTTTCTCGTCCCTCTCCTCTCTCCTCCTATCACTTCCTGCAGGTTTTCTGGCTCTGGAGCTGTGGAGTCTGGAGCAACCTCTACTGCAACGACTATTGTTGCTAGTCTTATTGTTATTATTGTTATTATAATCATTAACATTACGATGGTTACCATTAACACTATTATAAATATCTGTACCATTTTTCATTTAGTCTATAGCAACATTACCTTCACTGTCTGTACCTCTGTGTGTATATTGTGTAGGCTGCCTCTCTCTCTCCTTACATCTCTCTCTCCTTACATCTCTCTCTCTCTCTCTCTCTCTCTCTCTCTCTCACCCCAACCGGTCGAGGCAGATGGCCGCCCACCCTGAGTCATGGTTCTGCTCGAGGTTTCTGCCTCTTAAAAGGAAGTTTTTCCTTGCCTCTGTTGCCTAGTGCTTGCTCTTGGTGGGAACTGTTGGGCTTCTGTAAATAACATCACAGAGTACGGTCTAGACCTGCTCTTTTATGAAAAGCGCTGTGAGATAACTGTTGTTGTGATTTGGCGCTATATAAATAAAATTGAATTGAATTGAATTAGATAATAGAAGGCGTTTCGTCCCTCATCCAAGAGAATTCTTCAGTTCTGACTGACTGGTAGGGAAACTCACTTATTTAACCTCTGTGGGATCGTTAGCTAGCATAGTCGATACTGCCAGTTCGTTAGTGCTCCCAACAGTTGTCATGGTCGTTATGCAGCATTCAGACCAACCGCGAATTTTCGCCTCGCAACGCTTTCCTTGCGTGACTACATTCGCTGGTTCACACACAACGTGAGAAGGCGATTTGAACGCGATAATATGAATAAACACAACTTGCCATTACTACAACTGTATGAACCCAAAGTAAACATTTTGCTGTGATTAAATAGCAATAAACGGATTAAACTGATGCTGAAATAACTACAACATGATGCAGATTTGTTAAACATATGACTTCATGCTTTGTCAGGTCTGTCAGCAAGACAGCAGGACAACAACTTCTAAAATGTTTGTTTTCTGAACGGAGTTAGGATCGATCAGGGCTATGCTATGCTAACTTGGTCACAGTACAATGATAGCTGGAATAAAGTTACAGACACGTTTTCTGAACTCACCAGGTAGTTCAACCTCCTTTCTTTTCTCCAAGTAATGTCCAGTTTTGTCCGTTTTTTATATAAATATGAAGTCGTAGTCCGACAGAGCTAACGACGCTAACAACAACACTGGAACCGGATGTGCAGGGAAGTTAGCTACTGAGAAGCTCCAGTGAAGATAAATCAATGTTGAAATCCCAAAAACTAAAGCAAAAAGCTAATTTAATACAAGCAGTTAACGGCGTAGTTGTCAGAGCAGAATCCGACCGACTACGGGTGTTTATTTGTCCAATGGTTGCAGCGCTGCTCCCTGCTCTTCTCCCCCAAGTTTAGCAGCTCACTGCCGGCCAGCAGATTTTCAATCCCCGACTCTGCCTGGCCCTCTCCACACATCGCTCTGAAGCCTTGTTAACAGGAACCAGGAAAAGAGATCACAATTTTTCCTGTTTTAGCTTCTTTGCATTGGCTTCCAGTAAAATCCAGAATAGAATTTAAAATCATTCTTCTTACCTACAAAGCTCTTAATGGTCAGGCACCATCTTATCTTAAAGAGCTCATAGTACCTTACTACCCCACCAGAGCACTGCGCTCCCAGAATGCAGGGTTACTTGTGGTTCCTAGAGTCTCCAAAAGTAGACTAGGAGCCAGAGCGTTCAGCTATCAAGCTCCTCTCCTGTGGAACCAGGTTCCAGTTTGGGTTCAGGAGGCAGACACCATCTCCACATTTAAGAGTAGGCTTAAGACTTTCCTCTTTGATAAAGCTTATAGTTAGGGCTGACTCAGGTGAGTCCTGAACCATCCCTTAGTTATGCTGCTATAGGCCTAGACTGCCGGGGGATTTCCCATGATGCACTGAGCTCCTCTCTCCTCTACTTTCTCTCCCTCTGTATGCAACCTTATCCCATTATTGCATGTTACTAACACAACTTCTCCCCTTTCTGGTAGTCTTGTGCTTTCTCGTCCCTCTCCTCTCTCCTATCACTTCCTGAGTCTGGATCTGTGGCTGCGGGTCACCTGCTGCCCCCGTGTTCCTGCTCGACACCCTCTACTGCAACAACTATTGTTGCTAGTCTTATTGTTGTTATTGTTATTATTGTAATCATTAACATTACGACTGTTACCATTAACACTATTATAAATATCTGTACCATTTTTCATTTAGTCTATAGCAACATCACCTTTACTGTCTGTACCTCTGTGTGTATATTGTGTAGGCTGCCTCCCTCCCCTCTCTCTCTCCTTACATCCCTCTCTCTCTCTCTCTCTCTCTTTCTCTCTCTCTCTCTCTCTCTCACCCCAACCGGTCGAGGCAGATGGCCGCCCACCCTGAGCCATGGTTCTGCTCGAGGTTTCTGCCTCTTAAAAGGAAGTTTTTCCTTGCCTCTGTCGCCTAGTGCTTGCTCTTGGTGGGAACTGTTGGGCTTCTGTAAATACCATCACAGAGTACGGTCTAGACCTGCTCTTTTATGAAAAGCGCTGTGAGATAACTGTTGTTGTGATTTGGCGCTATATAAATAAAATTGAATTGAATTGAATTGAATTGTTAAGTTCTCAAGAAGCAGTCGTTGAACAGAGGAGGGGGTCTACACCCCCACTTATCCCCCCACCTACAATCCTGTCCTTTCATCACTTTCCAGGAAACTTAACAAGCATTTCCTCTTGGCCTCACATTTGTTTATCTCAACAATGTAAAACCGAATTCTCAGTGAGACAGTAACCTTACTGTGAATATGGTTTACTGACCCTGTACTTCATATAAGTACCTCTGGGTATTGTAAGGCCTAACCACTGGTGTACCTTGATGACAGACAGGTGAACATGGTGGAAGGGCGCTGTGGTGTAGTGATGGTTCAAGTAAGCAAACCCGGAAAACATTTAAGCAAAAGTCCTTGAAAAACTTCTATACTGTATGTAATACATTACACAATCAAGGGTTAAGTAAGGGAACTGTAATGAACCCTATTAAAACTGTTACTGAAACACATTAAAAAAGCTCTTTAGTCTGTTGTCCATAACAATTTTGAATTTTTCTTTGGTTCTATAATTCAGCACATTAGCCTTGAAATGAAATAACTATGATGTTAAAGGAGATAAAGACACACTCCTGTCTACATCAGTGGTGCTGAGGTGGAGCAGGCGAACAGTTTCAGGTTCCTGGGAATCAGCATTACAGAAAACCTGCCATGGTCATCTCACATCTCCACGCTGGTGAAGGAAGCTCAGAAACAGCTGTATTTCCAAAGGAAATTTGAGAAGTCAAAATTCCTGTGCCACATTCTTGTTTTACAGAGGAGCAACAGAAAGCATCCTGACTGGAATCATCGCCAATGTACCACAATGTATGTTGAGCTTCCATCTTTTTCAACAGCTGAAAAAATATGTTATAGGTATATGAGTTTGGACAAAACAGCTACGAGACAAAAACAATTAAGTGTATCGCTATGTAAACCTTTGCTGTACTGTTAATGTTAGCCTTATTTCAAATCATGTTTAGTTTCCTTGATAAAGATGATATAATGTTGTATCATGTTTTATAACCATATTATTGATTGTTGTGTCTTCTTAGGACAATATTGCCCCCCCCCCCCCCCCCCACACACACACACACAAAACACATGGGACATAAAGACAACTTATACAGTAGTTTTAGCAGCAAACATCCTCCTTTATTTTCCACTTTGTTATCTCTCCTTTGACATATTAAAAAATAAAAAACATTTCACTTAGAAAAAATGAAAAGTACAGTAGATGAAATGGAAACAGGGAAGTCTATATCAGTTACTGAGACAGAAGTAGTTTTACCAGATTGACAATGAAAAGAGATGCAATGGTTCTGTGTCATGTTGACCAGGTGCAGTTCACTATCCAACCAGAGACCGAGACAGGGACTCTTTCGTCAAAGGTTTTCATTTGCACACCTTTGTCACTGTGATCAGAACAAACTGTGTGTCCTTAAGATTAAATGCCATCTCTTCAACCTTACCAAACAGATCCTTTTTTCCAACATATCCAACATAACAGCTCAGAAAATTTAAAGCTATTAAATGGTTCCATGTTATCGAAATCCTAAGATTTGAATCCTAAGATCTGAGCTGAGTTTACATTAAGATATTTAGTTTTAGGACATAAAACACATTTGAAAGTGAAAAAAAAATAGAACTTTATAAAAGATAACAGGGAGAAATAACTCATCTTATGTTTATTATCCTGCTCTGTTATTTCACACTATTGAAAAACTGTGCAGACAAGTTATACATCTGTAATGCTCATGATATTGTTAGGGTAAGTATTGTAAATGGAAATTAAGTGACCCTCTACTAATTTGTAATATTATGTTATGAAAGAAACATAATACTCTGATTTATCTGATTTCTTTTTTATTAACTGGCTTTACTGAATAGCAGTATAGTGGATGGGCTTGATATTTCATCATGCGGGGTAAAAAAAGGGGGAAACAGCTATAATGAAGCAGGCAGTCATCAAATAACTGGTACTCTGTCACACCCTTTGGTGTCTCATAAACGCACAACGTAGCCTACCCTTTATCTTTCTATGAGATGCCTTTTATCAGTGTTTAACGTTGTGAAAGGGTCCAGTTTGATTAGGTTCAGGCACCAAAACTATTTGTTAGGTTTAGGTCAAGACCATAGTGTCACATACATAATGTTATATTACTTTAAATAAGTAAACAGTTGACTTTTGGTGAAAGCATTAGAAATGGTTATAGTTATCAGTTTTTCGACAGCCCGCTGAAGCCAAAATTTGGGGGAGCTAAACCCCTTTCTGGCTTGCCCATAATTCGTGCTGGATTATTTACCCCAAATAACCGTGTAAGCACCACACTGCATTATTATAAAAAACAGTTCCCACTGGGAGGGCAGGTAGTGGTTACATCATGCTGTGGGGTTTGCTTCTCTGCTGCAAACATGAGTGTAATAGGTGAATGAACACAGAAAAATCCTTGATCCAGTCTGCGAAGAAAACAGCCAATTGGGAGAAATTTTGTTTTACCGCATGACAATAAGCCCTATTTGTTGCTTGAAAAATTGTCCAGATGTGTGATGCATAACCTGCCCAGATAGGCTCATTTACTAATTACAGACTTGGAGGGGGTAATTACTTACTACCTAGATCACACTGGAAAGATGTTTTTACTTTTACATTAAAAGGGTTTCTGTAGGTCAGTGTCAAAAAACATTAACATGTTCGATTCAATAATGTAAACATGAAAACACTCAAAGGGGGTGAATGGTTTTTATAGTAACTGAAGATCTGTACATTGAGCTGTCAGATGGAGAACCATGGTCAGTATGTACCATAGTCAGTATCTACTGTATGAATGAACATTTTTCCAGAGAAAGGAAGGGTAGATAAATCGTGATAATAATCATACATACATACAAGTTAACATGACCACAGTGAAACAAGGTTCTATATTAAACTCTCCATGAAATCCTTTAAAATGTATTACTATTTTAAAAATGGGAAATTGTGATTTCTTCTGTATTAAGTTATTTGATTTTTAATTTAAATGGAAATCACGTAAAAAAGGATTTCAGCAGCAGGGCATAATAACAGATTTAATACAAACTCAACCTCGGCTTTATAGGTTGCCTTCAATCAGTTTGCTAGTGTGCTGGACTGGGTGATGATGATTTCAAAAGTAAATTAAAATTACATTACAGCTTTTTGGCAGTTGATATAATCAATACCAGGGTAGAAGAAGTACTCAGATGTTTTTTTAAATAAGCAATACCACAGTAAATAGACAGTAAGTAGTAACACTTTGTATGTACTGTAAAGGTATTCTTTATGCAGAATGGCCCATTTCAGAATAATGTGTATTATATTATTGAATTGTAATTATTGAGCCCTTCATTTGTACATTACTTTAATGTTGCAGTTGGTAATGGTGGAACTTATTTTTTCTATATATACTGCTGGGTAGCTTGTGAATTTCAGTCCAAGGGATCGATAAAGTCTTATCTTTATCCAATCATACATCATAATTTATTTGTGAATTAAATTTTGTATTATTATTATAAATCTGTAAAGTAATTACAAATTAAAGGTATCGAATAAATGAATATATTTTCTCGGTATTGTGGCAGATTAGAAGTTCAAAATACTCAAGTACAGTACTTGAGAAAATGGACTTTCCTCTACTGACTATAACACAGCTTTTGATTTGTACCTTTTATACAAATTATATAAAACTGAATGACTTCCCTACTGAAATAGGGGACATGTCCTCCCCTGTACTTGATTACTCCTACCGTTTACTGTAGCTCTGTTCCAGCCACTGTCGTACATCCTTTAGACTGTAAAAAAAAGGCCCCTTACCGCCCAGGTAGGCGATCTTTTTCTGTTGTACTATACACACCCGTTCATTGGACACACCGTAAGCCACATTAGCATTGTTGTCCATGCAGTCGGCCACCAGCTGACACTGCGGTGGCAGAGAAAAGTGCTCAATGAGTTTGCGCGCCGCTCCCAGCCTCTCCTCCAGGTTCTGGTGTTTTCGGACGTTGAAAGAGCAAGTGCCCATAGGAGGGACCACCCAGCCATCAGATGGGTGAGCCTCATCAATGTACACTAAGAGGAAATCAGCTACATCACTGAAGTCCTCCACCAACTGCCGGAAAGCTGGCAGGTGGCTGATGAAGGGGGGTCAGGTGACTGAGCCAAAGTTTACCACCAGAGGGCGATTTGATGACTCAAAATCCAGAAGGCGGCACTCTTCTCCATTTCGGTTCCTGGCACCAGGTGGCACATTAGTCATATTACTGATACTGCTGCTCCACCGAGGGCCATCAGGCACCTTTACCACATTGGAGTTGGGAGCCTCGCAGCCAAGTTTCACCTGAGGTAAAAATAGGGATTAATCTTTACTCACAGACTACACACATCAAGAAGATGTAAAGTGAGCTTGGTCTTCATCTGTTAACAGATTCTTTCCATATTTTAAGTCTTGTAAAAGCATCCATATTTAGGGTTTCTCAGTTGTATTATAAAGCTGTTAAAACTGTGATAAAGGGAAGGTCTTGTGAAGGGGACTCGTAGCTGTATGTTCACCAATAAGTATTGCTTAATAATATTTGTTTTAATCACTGAATTTCAGTCAACATCTTTTATAGTCAACCTTTCTAATATACACACTTTTTCAAAATAAAACTTGTACAATATATATATTCACACTTTTGCACTATACTTGTACAATTACAAGAAGACACATGTAGTAGCACATGACTCCACTTTAGGGAGAGAGCAAATGTGTCTCGCACACACACATGCGCGCGCCTATCTGTTGTATGGTCTCCCTCTGTACAACACAAATAGTAGAAAACACACCAGAGCCATATTGGGGCCCTAGCACGAAATGTACGGGGTCCCTATTGGAACTGAAGGATTTTTTTTTCTTTTTTTCTGCAAAGTAACCTCAATTTTGGAAGCCTAAACGTGCTCGAAAACTCCCCAAACTTTGCACATAATTAAGGCGGGGCAAAATTTTTGTATTTTATGGGTTTCAAAATGGCTTGCTAGCGCCCACTACAGAGCAGCCCCTGGATGTACTCATCCACATGCCAACGTTCACTTAAAGTCATAGCGCCACCTGCTGGCAACAGGAAATGACACACTTTACGCTACGATTGGCTACTCCTAGCGTGTAAACCATATCAACTTCAAACCTGTCCCAGAAAACCCTTAACACATTGATGAAGCCATGTTGTAAAACTTATGAGTTTGCAGTTAGCATGGCAGTGGTGTGGCGGAGAAGTTAAACGCTTTGCCATGATACATGAAGTTGTTGTATGTTACATGATGAAATCTGTACCAATCTTTACGTGCTTTATAACAGTCATGCCCCGAACACATCTACATGCTCAAATTCAGTTATAGTCATACATGTAACACTTTCGTGCAGAGAGGCAAATTCACAGCCACACTTCAGAATCTGCAACGCAGCCGCAGTGGGTTAGCTGCAGGAGCGCTAGCTGGGCAGGAAACAGGCAGGTCTCGCTGCTAGCTGGTTGGCAGCAGGCCGGGAGTCTGGGGTCTTCAAAAAACTCTTTTCCCACCTTGGCAACCAACGCCTCAGCCTAGTGGCCACCTCCCAGCGAGCCTTTATCATCAGGAAACCAACAACACCAAAAACTACTGGCCTATCACATGCCTCCCCCTACAATGTACAAAATCCTAACATCCATAATAACAACTACAACCTACGAGCACCTAGCGGACAACAACCTACTACCAATGGAACAAAAAGGGAGCTACGGGTGCAAAGATCAGCTGCTCTAAAAAAGAAAGAAAGAACCTTACAAAAGCTTGGGTCGACTATAAAAAGGCATTTGACTCTTCCCCCATATCCAGATAACAAAGTGCCTAGAAATGTACAACACCTCGCCTATCATGACAACCTTTATCAGAAGAAACATGACGCAATAGAAAACCCTCACATCAACCACAACAAACTTTAATATCCAAACAGATCAATATCAACAATGGAATTTTCTAAGGAGACTCTCTCTCACCACTTCTCTTCTCCATTACTCTTGCTCTACTATCCTCTCTTCTGAATAACAGCGGATACGGTTACAAGACAGGCAACAGAGTCATCAACCACCTGTGGCCTGTACTATGAAAGGAGTTCAACCTACTCAGAGTTAACTTGTGGTTATCAGGCAAACTCAGTTAAACGGTACTACGACGGTGGATAAGATGTCGGTTAGTTGAGTCAGTGTTAACTTAATTGGAGTTGGTGCGCATTCACATAAAATTGTTGTGGTTGGTGTGCAGTCAGAGTTTGGTGTCAACGGCGCATGCTCCGTATTTTCCCCAGAAGAATGCACATGCATTGTGTCGGGATATGAGGAGTTTAAAGACACGTTAAAGACTAAATCTAATATCGTAAGTAAGTAAAATTGTTGCCTAATTATCTTCCCAGTGTTCTAATTGTAGTTCAAATCTCTGTTATGTATTTTATGGGCTCCTTTATTTATGTGTAGCCTAATATGATAAAGATGAAAAGGTACAACTGCACATAAGGTCCATTGTAATAGAAAAAAAGGAGCCAGCGGAGAGGGGGAATAATCTGAGACAAAATGATGAAAGATTAATCTACAAGTAAAAAACTTGAATATTCTCTGACATTATAGTCATACATTTATGAGAGAAACTTCACTTTGCAAGGCTGCAACATCACACACACGTCTGCCGTGTATTATACATGCAGTGGAAAGTTATATTAAACTTTGCAATCAGATTAAGCAGTGAGGAAATACTCACAGCCCACAATCACTATCATGCACCGAAGAGACTTTGCCTTGGATTGGGTGTATTCAGAAGAAAACAGAGTGATTTTTGATATTTTATTACATTAATTTCAGGGAATTTCCAATTTTTTTTGATGTGGTGTGCAGTCCACGTGCAGGGTAACCTCGAGTTAACCATGAACAAAACCTGCTCAGAGCAGTTTAGAGATGCAGCGTAAATTGCCATGGCAACAGACCTCGGGTAACACCTATCCATCTTTCATAGTACGGGTTAATCTGGAAGTTACACCCGACGTCACCAAGTTACTCCTGAAGTTACCTGGATAAGCCAGTTACCTCGCTTTGTAGTACAGGCCACTGTTCTACACGGGTGACCTGAAGACCTATGCTGAAAACGATGATGAACAGAAAGGCTTACTTGTTATTGTCAAAGGCTTGTGATGATATTAGAATGGAATTCGGCCTTGACAAATGTGTCAAAGCTACTTTCAAAAGATGCAACCTAACTAACCCTGAAAATATTGAGATTGATCCAGATATGACCATCCAAGATGTAGAACAAGTAGGCACATACAAATAACTTGGTGTGAATGAAGGAGATGGTATACAACACACAAAAATTAAAGACAAAGTTCAAAAAGAGTACAACAGAATAATACAACTGCTGCTTAAATCAGAACTGAATGCCATCAACAGGATAGAAAATCAACACCCTTACTGTCCCAGTCGTCACCTACATTTTCAACATCATCAATTGGAAACTGGAAGAACTAAAGAAACTAGACCGCAAAACAAGAAAACTGCTGATAGCTGAAAAAATGCAACCACCCTAAAGCAGCTGTGGATAGGCTTACATACCAAGAACATTAGTTGGTATGGGCCTTCAGAAGAACAAGGACTATTGCCCATATCGTTACAGTCACATTTCTCTATAGGAGCATGTACAATATGTAAAATTTGTAGATTTTACTATTTTTTTATGAATTAAAGATGTCAAGTACTCAATTAAAGTATTCATCTGCCTCTTAAACACTGGTGTAGGCCACCGTGCTGCTGGCACATTTCAAAAGCTGTGGAGGCAGTTGTCCCCCAACGTTGTCATTTGGAAACCTATGACAGACTTGAGCTGGGTCTGCCAGGAATAAAACTAAAACAACAGCCCCATCTACTGCAGCTCTAACCGTCCAGACTGTGTGAAGCCTGCAAAGTCTCAAGGAAGCAGGACCAGCACCTCTGCAGGTGTCAGGCATACCAGGACATTATTTACAGCTGCAGAGCAACAGATGGTATGCTGGATGTCAAGCATGGGCCAAGTCCACCCTGTGGCTGAGACCTCACGATGCAACACAGCTTCCACTGTGCGCGGGGGGTTTGTCTTATTATAACTATAATATTTCAACAACGTACATGTAGCCAGTGCTTGAATTGGGAAAAAGTAGGTGCCAGTACCCCTCCCCCCCAACAATGAATGTAAAATGTTAGTATAATATTAATATATTCACTGGTCACACTTTAAATTGTTGTGCAAGAAATTGCTCTACATGGTAGTGAGTCTCTGATTTGTTAATGCTACGTAATAACTTGTCATAATCATAAAATTAAATTTTAAAGGTTTACTGATTGTACTGTTGTAATGTGGTGAAAACATAAGGGCTCAGATTAGGGGTTTGACGGCACATTTGGGTCACGAGAACAATACAAGAAGATATTTTAACAGTATTACGGCTGTCCTAAGGATTTACATAGTCGAATCACAATCGTCAAGTCCTGCCTATAGTTGACTGAAAGTCGAATCACCTAAACTGACCCTTTTATCTCTCTCTCTCTCTCCCTCTCTCTCTCCTGCCATTCACCGGTCTTGTGGAGAGTTTTGCGTGCATGCCGTGCTGCCGACAACTGCATGCATGTCGCGGTTCTATTTAAAACTGCCGACAACTCAGCAGGCCAGGTAGGTGACAATTCAAAATATAAAAATAGAATGGAATATAATGCACTAATCATTTTTAAATGTCCTGCCTCATCCAGGCTGTGATTGGTCGGTTCACGAAAAGTGACACTGATAAGCTACTTTCTGCACATGGTTGCTTGAAAAGCACCCGAGCTTCTCTTCTCCCTCGTCTCTCTCCGCCAACAGAGTTTAGCAGGCAGGTGAGAACGGGAACACGTTAGCGTCACGTAGCGACCAGAGAACCTGATATGGAGAGGAGTAGAGTAATGGCAGCTTGGAAGAAGTGCCGGTATGCAAGAAAATGTCCCGGTACGCCAAAGAGTAAAATATCGAGGTGCCGGAACTGTGTACCGGTGCGTTCTGGCCCACTTCAAGCACTGCATGTAGGGTGAATTGCTCTTACCGTCAGCTCCTCAGACTGTGAGAAAGATAACACAAAACAAAGAATGCAAGAATAACAGAAAGATACATAAATTTATATCAACATGTATGTGTGCATATGACAAAAGCTACTAACTAAGACATACTTACTTAATACATACTACTATAAATCATTGACCAGGAGCTCCTTCTCAAGCCTTCAGATAGCGATCTGTTTGAAGTAGATCAGCAAGTCCTTTCCGTTTGTCCTTCTCAAGTCTGTTAATTGTATCAATGTTTCCCTCACTTGTCAAGCCAGGAGAGAAGGAACGAGGAAATATGTTTTTAGAGAAATTAAATGTCCTTTCCTCCAAAGCATCACGTAAAGCGACATCCGTTTGTGATGACGACTGGATGACTGGATCAGCTGTCAGTCTAACAGCTGTAGAGACTTTTGCTGCTCAGAGGCACAGGATCATTTCTACTGGCACAATGCTGATATTATCTGCATTTAGATTTATTGATTCTGAGGCTAAATGTTGGCCCTGTGGAAATTAAAATGATGTAACTCATATCAAAGTCGACGCTCAGTTTTAGGCTTTCCGTTTATTTCCTCTTCTGATATCCTTTAACACTACTGCATACACTTTATTTTAAGTCACATCACTCGCAAGTCAATCACTGCATTCCATCATATCAACCCAACGCTAGTGCAGCGCTTTCATTTATTCTTTCATCAGCTGATTTCATCAGATGCAGTCGGTGAGATGGCTGGATGTGCAGGCTTACTTTATTTATTTATAGACTTTAGTGCAGTTTATTGTCCGACTCTTTAGGCTACATGTTGGCTATGTTTTATTGTTGTCTTTATGGACTAAACACAGGAATGATCAGCCTCACATGTGACTGAACAGAAATGAGGATAAATGATGTAAAATGTGTTTCTTGTAGACAGATTCTCCGACTCTCTCTGACTTTAATTGTCTCCATGATAAAAATTTATGGGAGAAAGAAAAGAAAGAAAAATTTTTCTAATAAATAAATAAAGTTGTGTGTGGGACTTTTGTTATTCAGACCTACAATGAACTCTTTGATTTTTAGAGCTGACCCCAAACAGTCGAAGATTTGATGCTTCGATGGGCGGAGCCTGATTCGACTGTCAATCTCACAGTTGAAGCTTCGCAGTGAAACAAGGCAGCACCAAAGCAGTTCGATCTCTGGCTTACCCCCTTGACAGCTTCACTGGTGTTGTGCCGAGTTTTACTTACTGTGTAAGTTGAATGAATAGAGACTGCAGCTCTGAAGCTTCTCAAGATTAAAGTGGAGCTACCATGTGTAACACCTCCCCGCTCGCAATCGCCACGCACAAAAACACACATGATTCGACTATCAGTCAACTATAGGCAGGACTTGACTATTGTGATTCGACTTTGTAAATCCTTAGTCGGGGACAGCTCTACGGATTTTTAACAAGACAGTGAATCATAAAACAAATTAAATATAAGACTTTGCAGTGATACACTTCAGTGCACTTCACTGCTTCCCCGCCTCGCACCTCAACACCAAATAAACGATGCCCCGTAAACCAACAAAACCAGTCAACCACCATTGGCTCTCTTCCCAAATGCTTGGAGAAGAGAGGATGATCAGTCCTAGAACGCTTCAAGCTGTCAATTCTTCCACACTTTCTCCTTCTGGATGGAGGCCACGCCAGACTAGCTTGTCCTCATAAACCAACTAAGCACACACCCCAATTAAAATCACTTCTCTGGCTACTTCTTTGAAGAACCAGACTGCCAGTTTGTTTAATTCCTCATACAGGATTTTACATACACCTTTGATCCAGGTTTGCAGGTTATGCCAGATTCCTCCTACACATCCACAATTTGCAGTCAGCCGTCTCTGAGCCTGACTTAGTCAATAAAGTCTTAGATTAGGAAGTTAAAGAAGTTTCCATGATAGTACCATTTTCTGTAGGTCTTGTTGAAATGTGAGAACTTTGGATCTGTAAACCTCCTCCACTTTCATATACAACAAATAAATATGATAATTTACTGACAGCTTGACATTGATATACTGTAACTTATCAAAAACACATTTGGAAAATAAATATCAACATATCTTCAAGATTCAAAGACTTTATTGTCATTCTGACCATGTAGCTACTTGTACAGGACAGAATGAGATAGCGTTTCTCAAGGGCAGTGCAACTCCATACAGAATAAAACCATAGAAATTTAAAAATGTAAAAATGCCTTGTGCACAAGAGGGTCCAAATTAAGGAACGTCTGTCTGTTATAGAACTGGCATTTTGTTCCAAAGCAATGCAAAAAAATCTTAATTGTTGAATTAATTTCAATTTATGACTTCAAACCTGTCAGCACTTGTATGATATTACACTGTATCACACAACTGCTGACAGGTTGCTATACTCTAGTTGCCAAATGTAACAAGCCTTACTGAGGGCTAACAGTTAACTGTAAGTGCAACTAATATTTTCCCAGTAAGACATTCTTGCTTTATGGAGCTCCTACGGCTCATATAGTAGAAAACAATATTGATGTGAACAGAGTAATTAACAGAGGGAACAGATAGGCAACCCGTGTACTTTATGACCTCCGCCCCACCTGACATAAACTAAGGAGGGCAAAAAATATTAGGCTGAATTATAAATGATCAACATGAGTACAGTACAGTTTCTGTCTGTTTTGTCTGACAGTGTCATCATAAAATAACAATTTTACAGGAGCTTGTTAATGGCTGCTTGTCAACATAGTATTTATTCAGTTGTCTGACAACAGAAACAGAAAAACATGAAGATGAGAACAAAGTTATGACGTGAATTCGACTGCATTAAAATAAATGTAGGCTATAGGTAATCACAGAAAGCAGGAAGGGCCTTTCCTGTCTATCTGTCACACTATGTGTGTGTGTTACAAATTAAAATTTAAACAGAATAATTTAATGTTTTTGCATTAAGGCTCCTAACATAATAGTTAATTTAAGATGGCTGGCTGTATGCTGTATGAATTGTCTTATCCTACTCCCACAGTCAAACAGTGGTGATAATGATGCACAAGACTAATCTCCCAGCTTTGATTTCCTTTTTTACATTTCAAAAGCCTGAATAGTTCTTGTGACATATATTGACTCAAATAGGCTCCAAAGACAAGGTTTATTTAGAAATTGTATAAGAGAAAGCCATTCACAGGTCTGGGGGGCAGTGTTGGGTTGCTATGGAAATGTAATAGGTTACAGATTACAAGTTACCCTATTAAAATGTAATGGTAGTGTAACTTTTTCAATTACATTTTTCAAAGTAATGTGAGCTATTACTTTTAATTACTTTATGATGACGTTTCAAAATTTCTAATGAATGGTTTGAACTGTTTCCAAAGACCGCTTGAGAGGCAGTTTAACTGGATGGACTGCAAATTCAAACAAGAGAACCATCAAAAGCTTTAGAACAACATTAAACTTTACTCGAAGGCTGAGTAATGAAGACTAAACAAAGAAGCATTCATAGGACGGCCGTATTCTCTTCCTGTTTGTATCTAGACAGCCACAGACGCATTGGGCTGGAAGTCGCCGGTTAACAGGGTCACTGTTAACCCGAAACACCGGCACTTTGCTGAACACGGTCGTAGGTTAGACAGGTGGAGACTTGTGGCCTATATGTAAAGTTTGATGACAGACATCAGAAGGTTGCTTAGTTAACTCAAAGCACTGTAATCCGTATTAAACAAACATGGGTTGGTCGGGAATTTACCTGCTTATAGGCGTCCAGTAGGAAGCTGTTCCAGATGGAGCGGAGCCCGGCTGAGGTCAGCATACGGCGCCACTCTCCGGAGCCGGCGGTCCCGGAGCAGCTGAGCAGCGACACAGCGCGTTTCACGAGCACCACGGAGTCGTACAGGGCGAGGAACAGACAGTTGGAAAAGAAACCAGGTAGTATCTGGAGTGTCACGAGCAGGTCCTCACTCGCCATTCCCATTTTGTCTTTCTGCGTTTCTACGCAGCGATTTATTCCAGACTACCCTTCATTACGCACAACGCTGCATCGTCGGTCTCAGTCGTCCTACTCATAGTTTGTATTCTGCACTGTGGACTGCTCCAGACAGTGCAGAAAATGAGGGAGGTGTATTAGGGCTAGGCTACCTTAAAAAGCAGTCTTTTGTGTACTGCTAACCTTCCGATAGGCCCACAGACGAGCCCGGTGCTGCTGGATCACACTTCTTAAAAGGACGAACACTGTACTTCATATTAAACCCTCATGGCTGTAGGAACATTCTGACGTCAGATGTGCCCCCCCCCCCCCTGCTCTGTGCACAGTGACTGAACAAAGTTTTATCATTTTATTGACCCTGTATAAAATTTAATCAAACAATCAATAAATTCAGAGGTTAATATTTATTATGAACTTAGCCTTGGTAATTTTTATTTTGGCTTTTGAAGGCTACTGGACTGTGACAGGTGCACATAACAGTCCAGTAGGCTAAGCGAATGTAGATTAAAGGCTCTTCTCAGGTTAAAATTCCTGTATTATATATTGTTTATTCTAATATTTGTATGTATGTTTATGTATTTTTATTCCATGAGCTGTAAGCCATCTTTATCAAGATTAAAACAATTCAATACAAACTTTTTCACTTTCTGTGTAATGAATCTAGAATATATGAAAGTTTCACTTTTTGATTTAAATTATGGAAAAAAAGAACCATGATATTCTAACTGTATATTGTACTTTTTTGAAGAAAGAACAATTCCTTCTATATTGTGTTTTTTTATCATCAGAATAAGGCATAGGGAAATTATTGAATGAATCATAAAGCACCAAAATGTTACTTATGATACCTATCCGCAAAACATCATTCTTACATACTTTTAAAGGTCGTGTTTAGAATCATAGACTAACAACAAAGATTGTGGTGGGTGGAGGGAGGCGGTTAAGTGGTGTCTTAGTAATGGTCTCTCTATTCTGGTGCAAATGTCCTCTTTCATTCCTCTTTAAAATCATCTGTCCTCCCTGTACAAATATAGTTATAAGTGTAATTCAGGAACAAGACCACGACTCTCTCTAATCCAACCACCCCTGCTTCACTCATTTCATCCACCTGTGCCTCTCTAATCTAATCACCTGCACATACATATATTACAAATTACTTATAATCTTAGCCTACTGTAACAGATTACGAACTGGTTCTCAGCCCCTCAGGGATCTGTATGATAATCAGTCCGTGCATCCATAGTTGCATCCAATGCCAAGCAGCCAGCCACTCATCCACCACGACCTTGCTCCGTTATCAAGTTCCTTAGCACCGCATCGTCCACTATTCTCCATCCAGCAGCAGACTCCACCAAACACACAGAGGTTGTAGCCGTCACCGCTGACTTTCGAGAGAAGAGAGCTCTTTAAGCCCGACACATGGCTTCTGACCCCTGCTCCCTTTGTGCCTAATTGTTATCGTTTGTTTTCCCCTTTTCCTCTCGTCTGTCTCAGCAGGCTGTACATGCTGCCCCTGCACATACAGGTGCTGGTCATATAATTAGAATATCATCAAAAAGTTGATTTATTTCAGTAATTCCATTCAAACAGTGAAACTTGGATATTATATTCGTTCATTACACACAGACTGATATATTTCAAATGTTTATTTCATTAAATTGTGATGATTAAAACTGACAACTAATGAAAATCCCAAATTTCAGTAGTAGAAAATTTGAATATTACTTAAGACCAATACAAAAAAAAGGATTTTTAGAAATGTTGGTCAACTGAAAAATATGAACATGAAAAGTATGAGCATGTACAGCACTCAACACTTAGTTGGGGCTCCTTTTGCCTGAATTACTGCAGCAATGCGGCATGACATGGAGTCCATCAGTCTGTGGCACTGCTCAGGCGTTATGAGAGCCCAGGTTGCTCTGATAGTGGCCTTCAGCTCTTCTGCATTGTTGGGTCTGGCGTATCTCATCTTCCTCTTCACAATACCCCATAGATTTTCTATAGGGTTAAGGTCAGGCGAGTTTGCTGGCCAATTAAGAACAGGGATACCATGGTCCTTAAACCAGGTACTGGTAGCTTTGGCACTGTGTGCAGGTGCCAAGTCCTGTTGGAAAATGAAATCTGCATCTGCATAAAGTTGGTCAGCAGCAGGAAGCATGAAGTGCTCTAAAACTTCCTGGTAGACGGCTGCATTGACCTTGGACCTCAGAAAACACAGTGGACCAACACCAGCAGATGACATGGCACCCCAAACCATCACTGACTGTGGAAACTTTACACTGGACTTCAAGCAACGTGGATTCTGTGCCTCTCCTCTCTTCCCTCCCTTTCAAATTTTCTGAGATACTGATTTTGGGGTTTTCATTAGTTGTCAGTTATAATCATAAAAATTAAAAGGAATGAACACTTGAAATATATCAGTCTGTGTGGAATGAATGTATACATTATACAAGTTTCACTTTTTGAATGGAATTACTGAAATAAATCAAGTTTTTGATGATATTCTAATTATATGACCAGCACCTGTATAAGCCTTGGCAAACTCTAGTTATTGCTGCTATTAATAATGCAATTAGTTTGCAAAAGACACATACCGTATATTTCATTATTCGTTTACTTTTGGTGAACTTGTGATTTTAGGGGTAAGGTAAAATAAAAAAGCTGGGGTCATCAAAATATCTTCTGAGATAATCTTTTCTATAGATTATTTAAATTTCCTCTAAAAAAGCTTTGGAAAAAAGCCTTACTGCATTGCCACACACAGTGAAACAGTGTCCCCTTTTCCTTCACAAGCCTCGTTTCCACCAAAAGTACCTGGAACTTTTCTCCCAGGATCTACTTTTCAAGGAACTAAAAGGTTCCATCAGTCCATTGTTGTGTGCGTTTCCACCGCGGTCTAAAGACCTGCGAAGATTAGGCAAATTAACCAGCTGACATATACGCCCAAAGCCATGGACATGCATCATTATTTAGTAACGCCACTATCCATGAGCGAAATGTATATATGAACATCAGATTTGATTGGAATATAAGGAATAACTATAGGCTATGCTTGACCACAAAGTTTGTTACAAATTTAATAAGAAACTCTATAAAGCCATCTGGAGAGGAGAGGGCCGGACTATATGCCATGGACATGCACACAGCGCACTGAGACACTGCCATGAGACAGCTCTGCCTCTTCCTCGATTCACCTGGAACACATACTCTACCTGCACATATACACTGTGTGACATCGGCCAGAACTGTGTGTGCTATTTGACTGGACTGGACTTGATACATGCCACTGTTTGCGTTGTTTTATCCTTAACGCCTTTACATTTTTGATTTAGATTCCAGCTAAGTGGATAGCAAGATTCCCACCTGTGTTGATCAGACTGTACAGTCTGCTCTCTGATATTATAATACTACCATAATAACAGTCCTGTATTTTTGAAACTAATGATGCAGAGATTAAATAGTAGTCTATCCGCAAGTATGTCTGAAAAGTACTTAAAGATGTGGTATTGTGCTTTTTGGCTTTTCCCTCTCCTTAATTGAGACATATACCCAAAGCCCAGCGCAAAGGGAGTTCCCATCTCCCAAAGAAAACGCTGCTATGAACTGCTTGAAAACAGCTTGTTCATAGTCCAGCCGTTTCCCTTTCGTCCCTGTGACATCACAGAGATGAAAGCTAAATGTGCCTCTTATAAGGCTCGCCAAGCGGCTACTCCGACACGCCCTCAAAAACACAGGTGGAACAGTGAGCTGCAGCACACAGCTTCTTCACTTTCTAGCCTTTTGCTTTTGTAAATAGGAGTCTTATGAAGGACTAAATTCACAGACAACGGTTAACGTTACCTGTAACAGGATAACGTCACACAAACAATGGACACCGCAAACACCAGACAACGAAACGGAATCTACTCAAGTGAGGAGCTCTTCCAGTATTGGGATCAACCTGTTGCATGTCCGAAGGAAATCCCGGTGAAGTTAAGGTTAAGAAGGTGCAGATGGAAGGTGCAGATGTCGTGCTGGCGTGAAGGTAAGCAACAAGAAGAGAGGGAGTCGGTGGAGATACAAGCCCTGTATTCCCTCGGTCATCATGGGAAAGTCACTGACGATCAAGAACAAGCTAGTTGCTCAGAAATTGATATATGTTACTAGTTACTTATTACTCCTTAAAAAGTAATATTAGTAATTTACTTGTAACTGGGTGATAAAAGTAACTAGTTACGTTACTAGTCACGTTACTATATTAGTTTCCAGAGGAGGTGCTGCAAGAATATATGCTTATCAATACAGCTCCTTAATAAAAAATGGTTCTAAAAATACGGCTAGTAAAAATTTGGAAATTCAATATGTGGCAGTCCGCATTAATAATTATCCAAATTATAGGCTAATTATGGGAAACACTGCTTTCCCTACCCCTCAACCCCAAACAAAGCAGTCTCCCCCGGAGTATGGTTTTTACAAAGCATATAGGCCTAATGTTTGTTAACGCCACTGGCTGAAATAAAAAAAGAAAGCAAGTAAATCCCGACTTTTAAACGGCGGGTTTACTGCACATATAGCCTGTTTATAAGAGCAGTATTCAGCAACTTTACGTTAACGCCACTCTCTCCCGACGAGTCCAAGCATGAGTGACAGAAGCTGCTGGACTTTCTTTCTGTAAGTTTCACGTCGCTGTGCTGCTTCAGCAGACGCTTCAATAAATCAGATGCAGAAATGTTCGTGGTTCAAAGCTTTTTGCTGGTCGCACAGAGTTTACAACAGACGACAATGTTCTTTGCATCTTAGACTGTGACACAATAATGGCAGCAGCTACTTCCAGCTGTGGAAAGAACGCCTCTCTCCCTCGTTCTCCTTTCTTCCTTTAGTGTTTGGCTATCAGCGGACATGAACAACAAAGTCTGGTCCCTCTGAGCTGCCGCACAGTCATGGATTTACGTCAAGGATTCAGTTCAGTAACGAGTAACGCAGTGTTACTTGCCTTAGTAACTAATAATAATAATACAGTTTTAGAAAAGTAATTAGTTACACTACTTAGTTACTGGGAAAAGTAATATTATAACAGTACTGCCCAACCCTCTGGTCAGTGGACAGCAAGAGTATCTGGAGTGCAGCATGTTATGTCTGACTGAACTGACTTGTCTGAATGGGAAATCACCAGACTGCTCAGTGAAACTAGCTGGCTTCTTGCTTGTTCGTGCAGATAGGAAGAAACGGACATCCCATCATCGAAGGCATCGGGACTACCGAAGCTTTTTCCCGTTCCTCGTCTGCTTGCTCCGA